TTCAAGTTTATCTTTGGACGAAAATTTACAGGGGAATTGCGTTGAATTCATCCCTTGTTTGATTCAACGATCTTCTTCCTTTCTTCTTCTTCTCTATTTCTTCTTTATCAAATCAAATGGTTCTCATCTATGTTTCATGTGGTGTTTGGAGACGGGATGTGAATAATGAGTGGAAGTTCATTGTTGATAATGAAAAAAAAGGCAGATTACTCTCGTTGGAAGCAAGTACTACAGTAGAGCAATTGAAGATGATGGTTTTGGAGGATTTTGGAATGGAGGAGAAGATTGTTAGCGCTGAGTTGAGTTATTTTCCAAGTTCTTTGATGAGTAATTTAGGAATTCCACCAGTTGTTATTTCCAATGATCGCCAAGTTTGCAATTTTATTGGATATAGGAAGAAAAATTCATCCATCTACTTGTGTGTGTCATTTACGGGTATGGTTGGGAAGCGAAACAACAATTTCGATCTAAATGAGAAGCCTTCTAACTCAATTTTCTTGTCAAGCTTCTCCCCCATTACAGTGATGGCTGTTTGAAACGTATGCTGCAAGAATCTCTTCAAGTCTTCATTCTCCATCTCCACACCCGCCTCATCTTGTTCCTCATTTATGGAAGTTGTTTTCAATTGTTTTTGAAGCTCATAATCCATAACCTGCAAGCAAACAAAAAATAAGAAAAATAGATCAATACTTTACAACTTAAAGAATCAAAGTCGAGCTCAAGTAAAAACAATAACTAACCAATACAAGCTCAAGTAAAATAAACAACCAAAACGAGCTCAAGTAAAACAATAACATTCATATATACCTTCACCAAGACGAAGACAAAACTGTGTTTGATAATTTGAGTGAACCGAATTCCCTAGAGTGTCCAATCTTCTTTCTTTTATTGACCTATGAAACAAAGAAAACAAGTTATAGGCTTGATAACAAAAAGTTGCTGANTGAAGCAAACACTTACTCAAGTTGAAATCCGAAATCAGAAAGAGGATTCGTCGGAGAGAGGATTCGTCGGGGAGAGGAGACGGGTCTGAGACGCAGCTTCGTCGGAGAGAGGAGACACGGGTCGGAAACAGAGCTTTGTGGGAGAGAGGCCGGACTTCGCCGGAGAGAGGCCGGAGAGAGGTCGGAGAGAGAGAGAGAGAGAGCCTCCTGCTTGGTTTCTCTCCTTCGTTTGTCGGAGAACGAGACTGAGAAAGGAGACGACTTTATTAAGATTTTAAAAAAAAAAATTAATAAACATAGGGTTAATTTTGTATTTAATTGGGTAAAGGTATATTTAGACAAAAGTAAAATGGGCAAAGGTATAAGGTGACAAACTCATCCTCAAATTGGCCCGATTAGCCAATTTTCTCTTAGATTTATTTGTTCTTCAAAATTCAAATTCCTTAATAAAACCAGTATCCACCTACCTATTTATAAGGAGCTAATAATCATAGTAAACCTTTAAAAAAAAATACAAATCTAAAATTTTAATTACAACTAATCAAATAAGTTAAGCTATTAAAACTAAAGAAATGTTTATTAATAACTTCAAAATATGTATAATAAATGTGTATAAATTTACTATAAAAATATCATCTAATACCTATTTATTTATTATTAAGAACTAGAAATGTATATTCAACATAAATATTATATTATTATAATAATAAAACATATAATATATAACACAAAAAATAAGTGATAATTCTCTTTCATTGTTATACATTTCAATTCTAACCCATAATGATATATATATATATAAACAACTAAAAGATGAAAATTTAAAACAGTTAATAAAATTGATGCATATAGATTTTTTTTTTTGTCAGCCGCCCATTTACTCTAGATCAAGTGGTGACTAGTCGAGTCGATTCTCCGAGGAGAAACTCCGTCTGGCCGGATCAGATCTATATGGGAAAATAAATAGCCTCTATTTCTTGCTTCTTTAGCTAGTGCATCCGCTCGTCCATTTCTACTTCGCGGAATATGAGACAGACTCACATCCTCGAAGTCCTCCCGTAGTCGCTGAAACACCTCAATCTCTGTTGCGAAAGCCGGCCAGTCTTCCGGTCTAGTAGACATGTTCACTAGATCCGAATATATTCAATGAATCATGTATGAAACTGTTTTACAATATGTATTTTTTAGACACTCGCACAGGCGTGCGGCCAGAATTTAGTTTTAGGTTGAAGCCCTAGTGTGCTCATATGGCAGAAGATTTTCTAAAATATGTTACACAATTTACTAACTAGATGACCCCCAGTTGTTTTGTGTATATATCTCACAATATTAAAAGGGAATAAGATGAGAGGTGAGACCCATGTTCTAAAACGTGGCGCCTAGGACCGCGTAGTCATCGAGAAGTCGCATGGCTGGACAGCACCGCTGGGATTTGGCTGTAATTGGCCAAAAAATCGGAACTTGCGAAAAAACTTCGTTTTTCTTCTCTTAAACTCTACAAATAGAAAATTATTTCATAGATTTATCTATAGTTGGAACAGATCTAGCAAGTTTCAAAGAAATCACTTTAAAAACGGCGAAAAAAAACCCTAGCCGCCATGTTAGAGAAGGGGGTCGTGTTTGAAAGGAAGAAGATGAAAGTCAAATGTCATTTTTGTCCTTCATTAAAGCTGAGTTTTTATAAAGACCAAAAAGAAGCAATGGGCATCGAACCCAGCCTTATGTTAGACATTAATATGACACTGGCCACTGGACCACTTTATTATTTTGGTAGTTCTTTTAAGTTCTATAATATATATACCGGCAAACTAAATAAAAATGAAAACTTCCGCCCCACATAATTTCCGATTAATCCCCGATTTTTTTGTTAGGCGCTAGACCTAACCCAACCGCCCGACTAGCGCCTAACGTTTTCTCGAACAGAGGGTGAGACTATCCACGTAATCAAATTAAATCAACCAATCATAAGGTTTTTTCACGTCACGTCATAATATATATTAATCGATAGCATACTAAACTATCGGATCAAACTTATGTGGGCTGCTCCTAATCCATGTGAATTGGCCCACTTTTAATTAGCCCAAGGCTGCCACAGAACTCAAATCGTGTCATCATCGTCCAGACCCGACTCTTCCAATTCATTGGAATCGATTCGAGTCGCTGCAAATAACCATTCATAACTTTCTTTTTATTCTTACCCCAATTCGTTTTCTTTTCCTTAAATCAATGGATTATCGACGAAACCACCATCGTATCCCTCCGCAGCGTCGTGTTCTCTCCCATCTCTGATTCATACTTGGCCACAAAAACAGCCAAGCAGGTTCAAAATCCACGTATTTACCGTGCTAGCTTGATCGTTGGTATCAGATGATAAATTCGTTTACAGTGATCAAAAGCACTGTACCACCTGTTATTTGGGCCTATGTCTTCACTCTCTTGGGCCATTTACTCAAATGGGCCGGTCACTATCAGTACGAGCTTATAACTCGGGAAGTGTCGATGCTAGTGGGCTTTGCCTTTCGTGTTGGGCCAGAGTCGGCTTCTTCTGGTACTTAAGCAGAAAACAAAAGAAGAAGGTAGTTAGTTCTGTTACAGCTATCATCACAGAGCATCGGAAGCAAAGAAGAGAGATCATCGGAGAAGAAGCTTTGTACATCGTCGTGTGGTCAAAGTACGTCGGAGAAGTTCTTGATCTCTAATTCCTTTGTATTGTAATCTCTCTTATCGTGTATACCTGTAAAAGATCGAGAGAGATTAGAATTTGTATACTTCCTCCGGAGGTTAATACCCGGAGATTGATAGTGAATGGGGAGCACGAGCCTCCCCCCAGACGTAGCGAAAGGATCCGTGAGCTGGGCAAACAAATCGTATTGTCTTTTCTTTGCTTAGAAATTACATCAAACTCAATCAAGATACAAAGATCAAATCGCAACAAGTGGTATTAGAGCGCTGGTTTTAGTATCAAGGGGATTCATGTCAGTTTCTCATTCGGATCAGGAAAAGGAAGCAAGATTGTTCTAAATTTCTATTCAAGCAAGCAAGAAGAAGATCAGGTCAAGGTTCGAAACTTATCTGGTTATCTGTGTGTGCTGTTTTGCCTTTTGAAGATTACGCAAGAAGGTCTTTACTTCTAAGGGAGCTGGTTTCGTGGTTTTCAGTTGCTACGGGGTCTTTAGTTTCAGATTGTATCCTGAAATTAAAGATTAAGATACATACAGTTAGTAATGGAGTCAACAAAAGGGAAATTTGAGGTTGAAAAGTTTGATGGTCAAGGAGACTTTGGTATTTGGAAGCACAAGATGTTGTGTGCTCTGGAGATTCTTGGTTTAGACTCGGTACTTGAGGAAGAAGCTGAAGATTCAGGCAATGATGACGAGGACACGAAGTCTGAAGCTGATCCTAAGAGAGCTGCAAAAGATTAACGTGTAAGAAGTCTCATCAAGATGAGTTTGAGCGATCAAATCATAAGAAAAGTGATGAAGGAAGAGACTGCACTCGGCATTTGGAGAGCCTTGGAGAAGGATTATCAGACCAAGTCACTCCCAAATCGGATCTACCTGAAGGAAAGATTTACAAGTTACAAAATGGATGAGCTAAAGACGATAGAACATAATTTAGATTCATTTCTAAAGCTGGTGAATGACTTGGAGATCCTCAATATCAACATCTCAGATGAGGATCAAGCAATTCAGATTCTAACAGGTCTACCGTCTAAGTATGAGCCACTTGTTCACACCTTGAAGTATGGAACTGGCAAGGATACGCTGACGGTTAATGAGGTTGTTACTTCAGCTTATGCAAAGGAGACAGAGTTGAGAGAAAGAGGTTTACTGCAGAAAAAGAAAAGTGAGGCAGAGGGTCTTTACGTCAGCAACAGAGGCAGATCAGACAGGAAGGATAGACAGTCAACGAGGTTCAGGTCAAAAAGTAGAGGAAGGGGCTTTCAGAAATCGAGCAACAAAGATAAAACTGATAAGGGTTGCTTCATCTGCGGAAAGGAAGGTCACTGGGAAAGGGAGTGTCCAGATAGAGGGAAAACAGGAATGCGAACTCTGCTAATATCGCCTCAAGGAAAAGGGAACAACCCTGAATCTTGACTGCAGTATACAGGACACAAGAGGCAAATGGGTTATGGATTCTGGAGCGAGCTTTCACATAACACCAAACAAAGAAGTCCTCTTTGATCTTGAGGAAGGTGAAGGAGGGAAGGTGTTAATGGGAAACGACACATTCAGTGAGATTAACGGAGTTGGGAAAATAAAGATTAAGAAGTCTGATGGCACCATTGTGGTTCTCACCGGAGTTAAGTATATGCCAACTATGGGTAGAAACTTGATTTCTTATGGATATATAGAAAAGGCTGGGTGTAGTACACAAGGGATAAGTTCCAAGTGAAATTCTACAAAGATGGTAAGGAGGTTCTTTCAGGTAACTACACAGATGGGGTGTACTATCTGAATGGTAAAGTCTTGGTAGGAGAAACTCATGTAGCGTAATCTAAAGTTGATTCAAGGAAATGGCACTCGAGGCTAAACATATGAGTCTAAAGAACATGGAACAAGCAGGGTTACTTGGAAAGCAAGGAAGTTAAC